GACTAGTGGCAGGAAGAGGAAGGAGTGGCACTAGTATGAAAGATATCATGGACAATAAAAACAAAGACAAAAAGTAAAAGAGTACAGAGAATGCTCAAGAATGGAGGGTATTCCCTCCACTGAGGCTGAAACAGAGAATTTGGGCAGGCACAATATTTCCAGTCATATCTTTTTATTTACCACTATACTATTTTTAACACTATTAATGGTTTTCTCTACCAACTCTCCTTTCAGTTTCCATGGTGCAGTATTTTGATTCTCTTTCTTGCTCTGACCATTTCCATTAGTTTTCTACTTCTTGGGGTGCCCTATCTCTGACTTCTCTAGGCAAACTTGCTTTCTCATTTTACAAGCACAGCTAAGTGATTCTCATTTACTCCTTGTATTCACTGTTATCTGCAAAAGGCGTTGGCCAAGTTTTCCTGTAAAGGACCAGAGAGTAAATACTTTAGGCTTGGCAGGCCAAGAGGCAAAATCAAGGATATTATATAGGAACATACATAATGAGAGAAAACAAATTTCCACACATTTCATTAGCAAAATGCGAAATGTAATAATGATAATTGAATACAATTTTTGTAATATGGACTACTAATGGGAAAATGTAATTATTTTGTGGGGAGAGGGGAATAGAACAGTTTGCTTAACTGGGGCTCAAAGTTAGTATTCCCTACCATCAAAAACCTACTGCAAATGTAAATCTGCAAATGCTGATCTGTACTGAGATTCTACATATTTCACCTGTGAAACTCTATTCACAAAGATAGGTACTGCCAAATACTCATATCAGTTCATGAGTATATAATTTTGATTGAGCATATTCTTCTACTTGAAAGGCATTTACAGAATGCTATTAAAATTTTCTCCTGATTCCTGTGTATAAGTATGTCATTACTGCAGATTAACCACTTCTAACTGAAATTTAGGTGGAAGTTCTCAACGGCCCAGTTAAATGGATGTTGAACTACAAACATTTCCTTTGCACTTGCATCAAGTTCCAAAAATTGCTGCTAGAACTGTAGTTTGAGCTCAAACGATCTGCCGGCTGCAAACCTATGTGGAAATGGAGATCTCACTCTTTTTTACTTTTGATAGCATGGGAAGTAGATACAGCAGCTTGACATTACTTGTGATTCAAACAATGTCAGTTGTCAAAATGACTTCACCATAGCATAGTTTTGCATATAAGTGTTGTTTTGCCTTGTAATTTTATTTTAAATTTATTTTTAAAACATATGAAGTCTACAGGAAAAGCTAATTTCCAAGCCTTTTCAATACTTCATAATAATGGTTGAGGGTGGGGTTTTTTGTTCAGTTATATTTCAATCGGTCCTTTGTTCAAAATATCGCAATAAAATGTTACCACTGCAAAACCAGTGGATGGCTGTATGGTACAGCAAGAATGTTTAGCTTTGACTTCTGATAAAAATCCATGGAAATGATAATAGTTGTTTCCAAAAAACTGAATGAAGTGCAACGTTGATACTACTGGTTCAACACATGATAGATTCAAATATTTGCTGCAAACTACCTGGCTGATTAATAAGACAATGAACATCCACATGCTTTAAGCAACTAATATTTTCACATGTTTTGTAAATCTGTCCAAATAAGCCTCTTCCTGCTCATACATATTTTTACCACTCTCAACTGTAATACGTTTTAGCAGATTCCAATTCAGGTTGTACCAAATCAGTGTTTTCTCAACTTCTTTGAAAATAATATGACTGTAATGATTCCACACAAGATATTCACAGAGGCTAAGTCCTCAGCCATTTCAAACTCAAACACTGGCTGCTCAAGTAACAAGGACTGAGCAGAATCGGCACCATCTTTCAACTCAAGAGTCAAAGAACCCCTCTCAATGTGACAGGAAATGATTATTTCCCTGGTTTTAAAATCCACCATTGATGCTGCTCCCATTGTCCTCGATTCTTGAAGCAACAGTTCTCACCAAAACGCTAATAGTCTTAGACAAGTTTATTTTCTGTGGACACATTTCTTTGGCTGCTGCAATCAAACATGATTTAATTAACTCAAGATTGGTAAATGGCTATCCTTGTTTGGCTAGTAAATGAGCCACTCAGGAACTTACTAGAGTTGCAGCCTCATTTTCATTTTTTATTTTGTGAAAAAATTCTGCTGTAAGATACTGTTTTAAATTTTCTAACTTTTCTGACTGCTGCTTTCCTGTGAGTTAGGAATGCTGTGATGAGTGCTCAGTTTGGCAATGTAGACATTTATTGTATTCTATTAGTACAAGTGAAGTGTAGTTATGCAATAAACACTATGCCGTAATTTAATTCATTAACAAAATAATCCACACTCTACTGTGCCTTAAAAGCATGATACTGAAAAGTCTACTTTTCTTATTTTGACATGAGGCATATGCACTGTTAATTTTAAAAATAATAAAACGTCATGATATAGCACTTGAGATGCTATCAAGTTATAAATTGAAACGCTATCAAGTTACAACTGTCACTGCACTTTGTAGTCTGACTCAGTGCAAAGCAATGAGTGACACATATAGTGTGTTACCCTCTGTCACAGTGCCAGTCTCCATCACAACGAGTCAACTCTGCCACAAAGCAGCCATAGATAATACATGAATCAATGGGCATGGCTGTGTGTCTATAAAACTTTATGAACACTGAAATTTGAACTTTATATAATATTCACATGTCATAAAATATTCTTCTTTTGATTTTTTCCAACTACTTAAAAATGTAAAAGCAACTCTTAGCTTGCAGGCTGTATGAAAATAGGTGGTGAGCCAGATTTGAGCCGCAGGCCAAAATTTGCCAAAATCTGATCTATAAGAACTACAAGACACCCTCAGCAACACCAGACTTACATATCTAACCCATTAAATGGATCACATGACAATTCAAACCCAACATATATCAAATTAAACTAATCATCTTCCCACCTACTTTAAATTTTCTCTTCCTCCTATATTCTCCAACTCAATTCATCACCTACCAACCACTGAATCCCACAAGTCAGACACCAGAAAACTGGGAATCATTCTGACTCCTCTCTCCTCCACTGACACTCACTCAAACAGAACAAGTCCTAATTATTTTACTTCTTAAATAGTACCTGAAACCATCCCCTCCCACTGTCACCTTTATTCAATCCCTCATTATCTGTAAACTGAATATTGTCTCCTAACTAGTCTCTCTAGTTTTGCCCCCTGAAATCCATCCTTAACACTTCTGCTAGGATGTTCTATACAAAATATAAAACTGATTATCACACTATCCTTAAAACCCTCCTGGAAATTAGAATAAAATTCGAACTCTTCTGCATGGCCTACACTCTGGAAGCCTCATTTTATACCTCTCTCCCCTCCTTATCATAATCACACTAGCCTTCCTCTCATCCCTCAAACAACCTCAGTCCTTTCCTGCCACAAACCCTTCTACAGTCCTAAAACAGCAGCTTCCAAACTTGCTCTGTGAAAGAACCCTGAGAAAGCATGAAGGAAAGTGGAAGGAGGAAGCTAAGAGATCAGTCAGGGCAGTTGCGTTTCTATATGCTTCATTGTGTAGGCTTTCAGATATAATGTCATTTTACAAAACACACACACTAGAGTTCCATGATCAAAAAAATATTTGTTTTTGAAACTCATGACTGTAAAAGTCTAATTTCCTTACCATAACGCATAAGGTGCTATGTTATGTGACTCTCTCATCTCTCCTCCCTCATCCCCAAGCCGCTTTTCCTGCCCTTCATCAAGAGGAACGTAACAGGTGGCTTCAAATCTCCATGCTCACCAAGCCATCTCCGCCTCTTCTCCCTTCTTGGTTTAGCCAATGTACATTTGTCTTAGAAGAGCCCTTACTGACTTCATACCTTTGAATAAATGTTATATTTTTCTTATATGAAACAATGTGAAAATATTATTTACTTGACTGTGAATTCCTTGTCTGATTCCCCTCACAAGAATGTGAATAAGAAAAGAGATCCTTTGTCGGTCTTATTCACTACTGAGTCTCTAGAATCTAAAGAACAATGCCTAGCACACAGCACATGTCCAATAAATATCTGTCAAATTAATGAAAAATGTCTTATTAATTTTTACATCCCAATACATAGTAGTAGTAGCTGGTACAAAGCAGGAACTCAACACATGTATGCTAAAACATAAACCTTGAAATAAAAACTGGGGTCAGAAAATGAAGAGCTTTGAATAACAGGCCAAGGAGTTGTACACTCGACTGTGACAGATATCACCTATTTTCCTATTTACTTGTTCATCTCTTCAATCTTCAATTGGTAGTGCTTCTAACAGTTTGATTTTCCTCCAAGCTCTTTCCCAACTTCTTTTGTCAAGTGGTTCATGATGTTAATATAAAATTAGACACAGCCTAGATTTTAAATATGGCTCTACTTAAAGTAACACATGACAACCTTGAAAAATATGTAAAATTCTAGGGCTTCCCTGGTGGCGCAGTGGTTGAGAGTCCGCCTGCCGATGCAGGGGACACGGGTTGGTGCCCTGGTCCGGGAAGATCCCACATGCCGCGGAGCGGCTGGGCCCGTGAGCCATGGCCGCTGAGCCTGCACATCCGGAGCCTGTGCTCCGCAACAGGAGAGGCCACAGCAGTGAGAGGTCCGCGTACCACAAAAAAAAAATAAAAATAAAAATAAAAATAAAGAAAAATATGTAAAATTCTAAATAGTAGTAGAATACTACAAATAAGATATCTTGAGAAAATAATGGAAAAAAATCCTGACCACCTTTTATAGAATGTAAATCTGTTTGGATTTAGTTCTAACGTGTTTATTAAAAAACATAAAAAATTCCAACGGAAAGGTATTGAATTACCCAGGGAAAGAAATCACATATCAAAATAAACAACTTATACTCTGAAATTCAGTGGTTTTCTAAATAAGATTTACATTTAAATAATGCTTAAGAGAAAATAATGCTAAATTCTGCCAATAAAAAATTAATAAGGATATAGAAACATATAAAAAGTGATTCTTACTAAGTTATTGTCATCTTGGAAAGCATAATGCAAAGTTGTAATCCATTTATTGTCTCCATTCACTAACACGTCCCTTTCTTCACGAAAACATGCTGTCTGAAAAGGAAAAAAACATTTTTTTAGATAAAGAATACTTCATGTAAAACTAGGAAATATATTATGCAAACAATTGCTTAAAATATTTATTACACTTTCTGTTCTGAAAAGGGAATACATCTAATATTATATGACTTTCCAATAAGTCAAGTTTCAAAGACCCCTCAGAAACTGAACAACTGGAACAGTACACTTAAAAGTATTTTATATTTAAAAATACTGTTGTAGTTCAAAAAAATCAGAAATATACACAGAATTATTTAACAACCATGGTCCAACCTACCATCTAGATAATATAAATGTCAACATTTTGTCACATTTACTTCTGATCGTTTTGTTATTAAGAAAATATGGTACAAGTTGTAGCCTTCCTATTCCTAGAGCATTCCTGTCCCTTCTCCCTCTGAGAAAATGAATCTGAAGTTAGTATATATTCTTCCCATCACATGCTTTATTACACATGTATGTGTCCAAAAACAATAGAATTGTTTTGTGTTTTGAAAACTTCCATGAATAGTGTAATTTCATCTATCCCTTTGCATAGATGGCTGTTTACCTTTTAATTGCTGTGGTATTCCATTGTATGAATACGGCAGAATTTATTTATGTAACCCCCCGATCACGAAAATCACCCAATTTTGTGTTATTTCAATGCTGCCAATGAATATATTTGTACAAATGTACAGTAAGTCCCCTACATACGAACCTTCAAATTGCGAACTTTCAAAGATGCAAACGTGTTCGCATGTCCAGTCACGTAAGTTAGTTCACCTGTCTGGCATACGTTGCCATATGCATGCATCCTCTACAAGTGGTTGTGCTTTTGTGTATACTTTACTGTACAGCACTGTATAGAGTACAGTAGTACAGTATGTTTATTTCAAGCCCAGGATGTCTGGAAGCAAGTGTAAAAGCAGCGGTGATGGAGCTGGTACAGTACTAACCAGACATCACTGGATCGTTTTTTCAAGGGGGTAGATAGAATTGAATCCAGCAAGGAACTAAAACCTGTGCCATCAATGTCAGGCCGTGAGTGAAATTGCAGCTTGCCCTCCGTCTCCTATTGCTGACGATCCTTCAGCTCTACCATCTCCCACCTCCCCTCCCTCCTCCAGTCAGTAACTCTTCTTGCCTGTTCACTCGATGCCAGCCCCCGTATGCCAGCTGTTGTACTGTACTGCTGTACTTTTCAAGGTACTGTACTGTAAGATTAAAAATGTTTTATTTTTTGTTTTTTATGTATTATTTGTGTGAAAAGTATTATAAACCTATTACAGTACAGTACTATATAGCCGACTGTGTTAGCTGGACACCTAGGCTAACTTTGTTGGACTTACAAACAAGTTGGACTTACAAACGCGCTCTTGGGAACGGAACTCGTTCGTTGTAGGGAACTTGCAAGAGTTTCCTAGAGTATAGACTTGGAAACAGAAATACTAGTTTTAAGCGTTTTCAACTTTACCAGATTCAGCCAATTTTCTTTCCTAAGTGGTATGCCAGTTACTACCCTCACCCTAGTGTATGAAATCTCCCCTTTTCCCCACATCCTCAACTGCACTTGGCATTGTTAAACTTTTAAGTGCATGTCAATATGATGGGTATGAAATAATATCTCATCATTCTTTTAATTAACATATTCCTAATTACAGGTGCAAATAAATTTTTTTGTTGCACTCGTTTTTTAATTAATTTTTATTGGAGTATATTGCTTTACAATGTTGTGTTAGTTTCTACTGTACAGCAAAGTGAATCAGCTATACGTATACATATATCCCCTCTTTTTTGGATTTCTTTCCCATTTAGGTCACCACAGAGCATCAAGTAGAATTCCCTGTAAATAAATAATTTTACATATGCTTATTGGACATCTGAGTTTTCTCTTTGAAAAACTCCCTTTGCCCATTTTCTCTAATGAATTGTCTTTTTCTTACTGATTTATAAAAGTTTTAATTTATTCTGAGGATATATTTCCACTATTATAAAGATATATCCTGGAGAACCTTAGAAATGTGTGGCTAAAAATAACTTTATATGATACTTTATAATTCTATAATATATCTTTAAATTTTTAATTAAAAAGCTGCTATGCCAAAGAGAACTGAAAGGTAAAGTAGAAATTAAAAGTCTCCCTGAGTCACACCCTGATAGTTTCACTGTCCACCTGTTATGTCCAGAGGTTACTACCAATAACTCAGTTGAATTTCTTCTCAGAAAATTTCTGTATACACATAAGCATATAGACACACACACACACACACACACACAGAGCTATATTCATATGGCATCCCATCTCCCCTATCTTTTCTTCCTTTACACAGATGAGATCACAGTGCTCTGTAAGTCATTTTTTTCAAGTAACAATATATCTGAACAGCTTTCCACACCAGTACATAGAGACCTAATTTTTCTTAATGGCTGTACCACATTCCATACACACTGAAAAACCATCATACAGTATTCTACACATAGCAGGTGCCTAATAATTTATTTCCCACAAGATAAATTCAACAGCCATGATATATAAAACAATTAGCATTACTTAATTTACCCTAATTAAGTACCTTAATTTTTTTCCACATATTTCCATAAATTTCATTTGATGCAATAGCATTTCCAAAGTCATTTATTAAACAGCATCACCAAGGAAAATTTTAAAAAGAAATAAAGCTTAAACTAAATGAATGGGCAGTTTTACCTGTCAATTCAATTATTAAAATCTACAATATTATGCTTTCGTTCACTTTACGGAGAAAATAGAATCACTTGACATACAACTAAGTTCTGTTTTAGACTTTAACTGACCTGAAATTATGGTTTGCTGCTAACATTTTAGAGAGGTGGTGAAGCCTGTCAAGCCTAGGAGACTCCTTTCTCCTGGCTTCATCTTACCAGGACAGCTATCTGAAATTTTAAAGACATTTCCAGCTAGAATCTGGAAATGTGACTGACTGATGACTTCAGACTAAATAAAGCTCCAAAGACTACCTGTCAACACAACAGATTAACTTCAGTAGGCTCTAATCTATTCTAAACTATGTAGTGAAAAAATAAATTAATTTTTAAAAACATAAGATATAAACTATTTCTAATATAAAATTTTAAACATATATAAGAGAAAGCAGTAAAATAATCCCCTGCCCCCAATGTACCCATCAACCAATTTCAACAATTATTTTATTGTTCAATTTTATTTCATCTACACTCTCACCCACTTACCACCACCCTTCCTCCACGCACATACATGTGAACACTCACACATATGTATATACACAGAGGATTTTTTCGAAGCAAGTCTCAGACATATGATTTTACCCATACATACTTAGGTATTATAGACTATTCCTATTAATGCCTCAGATACTTCGTTTAGATGTGAAGCACAGTCTCCTTTTTTGCTTCAGTATATCACACTGTCCTCAGTTGGTTGTCACAGCTGAGGAGGGGTGAGGGGTAATGCTACCAGCATCTAGTGGGAAGAGGCCAGGGATGCTGCTTCACATCCTACAATGCACAGGACAGCCCCCAGATGGAATTATCTGGCCTCAAACGTCATAAGTGCCACTGCTGAAAAACCCTGTTCTAGGTCAATATTAACCCAACCATGATGCATGTATACCAAGGATTCAATATAAAGACATTTAATAATGTCCATTTCAATTACATTTTTGAAAAAACTAAGTAAGATTTTTTAAAAATCCTCCCTTAAAATAAAGAATATTTGGGTCTCTAAGAATGCGATCATCACAAAGGAGAGGTTACTGGAGACCATACAGCTTCTTCAGACTCTGTCACTCAGTTTCTATTCAACCAAACATTCTGCTTGCAAAGTGATGGTTTTGAGTGTTGTGCAGTTTTACATTGTTAATATTCAGTTACATACTGTTTAAATTTTATCCTTAATGGGTTACTGGTTAAAAAGAAAGAAGAGAAGGAATACCTATGCTGAAACAGAAGTTAATACAGACCATATATAAATGATAATAATTATGCAAAACTGTCACATGATTCTCTTCCCTAGATCCACAGGTGCATTCAACAGATCATTATTCTTATACAGAATATCCAAATTGCCCAAACACTTGGAAATCACATGTTCAAATGAGAAAATCCATTCATGATATATCTACTTTGGCTTCTAATTTATAAGTAATAAAGACTTATCTCACCCATGCAGTATTACCACAGAAGAAGACTTTCAAATAATAATTGAATCATTCTCTCTAAGCTAATATTTGAGGGGGAAAAAGTCAAGTTTTTTTTATTTTAAAAAAATAGATAAACAGGTGGAATTTTATTTTATTTTATTATTTTTTTTAAATTTTTTTGAAGATGTTGGGGGTATGAGTTTATTAATTAATTTATTTTTGCTGTGTTGGGTCTTAGTTTCTATGTGAGGGCTTTCTCTAGTTGTGTGGCAAGCGGGGGCCATTCTTCATCGCGGTGCGCAGGCCTCTCACTATCGCGGCCTCTCTTGTTGCGGAGCACAGGCTCCAGACGCGCAGGCTCAGTAGTTGTGGCTCACGGGCTTAGTTGCTCTGCGGCATGTGGGATCTTCCCAGACCGGGGCTCGAACCCATGTCCCCTGCATTAGCAGGCGGATTCTCAACCACTGCACCACCAGGGAAGCCCCAACAGGTGGAATTTTAAATTGAAAAATGCAAGAACTTCAAATATCAGCTCTTACACACCAAAGCATCAATTTACTTTTAAATTTCCATATTAATATACATTTGGTGACCAAATCAAACATGAGATACGTCACATAAATCATTTGATAACATCCACAGTTGGCAAATGTGTGAGAAAACAGACATGTTTAAATACTATGAGTGCAAAGATATACTGATCTAACTTTTTTTAGAAAACAATTTGGCAATAGCTATCGAAGTTTAAAGGTATACCCGTCCCACACAACCCAGGAATTCCACTACTGAGGAGTTTAATCTGGGGAGTGGATAAATTCTAGAGTCAGCAGGACGTGAAAATCCCTTAGCGTAAAAATTATACTTAAAATCCCTTCAACCTCAGCATACACAACCTGGAGTACCTCAGGGTAGCCAACAGCAACATCTCTGATTAACAGTATTTCACAGCCCTTTCTGTGTTACATTGCATATACTTCTTAGGTGGCGTGACTAGTTCTGATGCACTATTTTCTCTCTTGTTTTGAAATTTCTCTTTGCTAAACACACATAGTTAGATTTGGTGAAATAACCAAATAAAAATAGTAAAAAGGCGGAAGTAATCTAAATGCCCATCAATGTTTAAATAAAAATCATCATACTAAACAATATATCCATTCAGTATAATGAAACTATTAAAAAGAATCAGGTAGGGCTTCCCTGGTGGTGCAGTGGTTAAGAAACCGCCTGTCAATGCAGCCGACACGGGTTCGAGCCCTGGTCTGCGAAGATCCCACATGCCGCGGAGCAACTATGCCCGTGCATCACAACTACTGAGCCTGCGCTCTAGAGCCCACGAGCCACAACTACTGAAGCCCGCATGCCTAGAGCCCATGCTCCACAACAAGAGAAGCCACTGCAATGAGAAGCCTGCGCACTGCAACGAAGAGTAACCCCTGCTCACCACAACCAGAGAAATGTCCGCACGCAGCAACAAGAACCCAACGCAGCCAAAAATAAAATTAAAAATAAATAAATACTTTATTTTTTTAAAAAAAGAGGGCTTCCCTGGTGGTGCAGTGGTTGAGAGTCCGCCTGCCGATGCAGGGGACACGGG